TATACCACATCAATCCATTTGAACGAAACAATCTTGGCCGGTCTGTCATGATACAAAGTGGCCAGATGACTTGACAAATTTACCCAGTCGGAAAACCCGAAACGCAGTCCTGGCAAACATGCGTATGGAGCCGAGATATAAACAGGTAAATACTTATGTAGCCAAAGCGTCATCAGAGGTCTCTTTGATCGGCTCATCCTCGAGTTGGAGAACTGAAGACGCGATTGTCAACTGCAATGATCAAGTTGCTGTTTCTCGCGACAATCATCACAAATCCAGTACATACACGCGCCGAGAAAACTGGACTGGAAGAGATTGGAGATGAGAGATACACATGGGTGAAACCCGAATTGGTGGAAGTCACGGATTGAGGTTGCAGGGGATGACGGCCATCAATGGTTGGGATTGGAAATCTTCCGGAGAACCCAATGAGCACGGAGAACGAACGGATCATCCTTCCTGCTTCTGAGAGATCATGACCGGCGATGTCTGCCGGCTGCTCATGCCAAGCTAGACTCTGGTCTGCACGAGTGACCAGCTTGCGCTCCACCCGTCTGGTGAAAGAGGAAGTGATGACAATATGGAAGCTATAAAGAGAGGCCCCTTCGACCAACAAGCATCAGACCATCAGCCTTTCCATTCAATCACTTACAGTCGTTGCTTCAACCCCATTCCTTTCAAGTCCAACTCCCCCCACACACTTTAACCAAGTCCACCATGAGATCCTTCATTGCCGTCGCCTACATCCTGGCTGCTTGTAAGTCGACAATTGACAATCTGACTTGACTCACTCCTCAGTTGCCTCTTGGCTGACCTGTTCTTGTTCTTTCTGCAGTCGCTGCCGCTACCCCGGTTGAGTGAGTGCCCCCCATCTCCTCAAGCGAAGAAGAGAGTTCTCATGAGTTTCTTTCCCCTTTCTACCAGCCTCCAAGCCCGCCAGATCTCTTCCAGCAGCGTCCAAGCTGCTTCAGGCCACGACGCGACACACCAGAGCTCAACCAACAGCAGTCCATTCGGATTTTCCCACCAGGAGTCCGACAGCGAGCACTCCTTCAACCAATACAGCTCGGTGACCAACTCCATGGCACCCGTCTTCGGCACCATCGGTCAGATCCAGAACTTGATGTCCCAGGGCAGCTTCTCCGAGTCCTCTGCCATGAGCTACATGACCCGCCTCGTCCAGCAACTCCAGCCTGCCTTCGACGGCATCCGGGGATGCAACTGTCTCCAAGACGTGAGTCTCATCTCATCTCTCTCCGAAGCATCAGCACTATCGCTAACCGTTCTCTCCGTACATCCCTCATCCAAAGCCCACCGTTGTGTCCTCCTACAACAGGATGTTCAGCCAGCTCTACCAGATCTTCCAATTCTGCCAATCCCAATACGGCCAGAACTTCAACCAGCTCGTTGCCCGTAAGTCCACTGATTCTCATTCACGTCCCTTTTTCACCCGGGCTCCCTTTAGACCCTGCAGACCAAAGTCCGCTTGAGTTTGCTCACACTTTCCATCTCTATTCTTCTTGTGCCCCAAAACAGCCTTCGGCGGTCTGTTCAACTCCTTCTCCCAGTTCCAGTCCGAGGCTCACCAATACCAATCCTTCAGCCAATTCTCCAACTCCTTCAACCCGTTGGTCAGCATGCTCGGAAGCGCCAACCCTTCCTTCAACACTCTTGGCCAATTCTAGAGACTTCTTTCATCATTTCCCCCCGCCCGGTGATCCAGGTCTCTTCTTCTCGCTGCTCCACATGTCTTGTGTCTTCATAGTCTTCGCGAAGTAGTCCAATCCCTTTCTTTCATTCGTTTGATCTTTGTCTTTGGTTTGTTACCGTTGTGATCAGTCTCTTTCCCAGTCAGTGCGATGGGTTTGTTGTCCCCTTGAAAACCTTGTTCCGCCCGTTTCCCCACGCACACTGTCCATTCGTTGCTCCTCGTCGGTTGGGATCGTAATAGCACCTTTCATTGAACAACACACTTTGCGTCCTCACCATTTTGAACATCAGCTGCATAGCAAGGAATATGAGAAACACCTTCATGTGTCGCAATTCCATTTTACATCATAGTCATTTACTTTGCGCCCTCAACCTCGAGGTGAGGCCAAGAGCAAGTCCCGACGTCTCACTAATCATATCAGTCTTATACTTCCTTCACACACATGCACGAAGACGGTTGGCTGCCCAACACGTGCATCTATTATTTGTGTTTTTGTCACCCAGTCGTAAGCATGTGTAGCTTTCGTGAAGAGAAATGCCACATTGACCCTTTTTCCCCACAAAGAAGATATGCCTTCGCGGAGTACGAAGTTTCCGGGGGCAGCCTGAAAGCGAAATCATAGCCTCTTCTCTGTCCTTCCTCCTTCCCTTCTGTTGGGTTGCGTCGAGGGAAGATGTGTTTTTCGTGTGAGATGGACTGTCGGAGAAGGGTCACCATCAATCAAAAAGAAGGTTTGTAAAACCCTTTCTCGGCCTTTCTTTCTCGGTCTCCTCCCCCCCCCCCCCCCCCCCCAATAACAAAACCATAGTTCAACCTGCAACTTCGACGCCTTTCGAGCCCTGCAAATTGTGTCTCTCAATCCTTTTCGGATTCCAAGTTTCAATAAAACCCTTGTCAAATTGACGCGCTCTGTCGCCGCCAGACAGATCGGGTCATTGAAACATGTAATTTGTTGATGGAAAGTTCTTTTGAAGACGCGACGTCAACGTTTAATTGGCTGACAACTGCAACCGTATGAAGTTATTACACGGATCCAATCCAGTAAAAGCAGCGCAGTTCCTCTGGTGGCAATTATCATCTGACTGGGCCAGGAGAACCAGAGTAGACGCCGAAGAACGAAAGACGACTTTGGGCTGGACATGATGGCCCGTCGAAACGGGTGGATGACCAGTACAACATGAATTTTTGGATCGAGTTTAGTTAGACGGATTGAGGGTGGTATGTATGACGGCCATCGATCCAGGTTGGAGACTGGACATCTTCCGGGAATTCAACCCGGTGAGAGATCATGAGGGACTTTTTTTCGGCAGAGATCATCCTTGGCGTCCTGACAGCTTTCTGCTGCTCCTTTGACTTGGTCACCGCCGAAAGTCAGGATGTCGGCCTCTCTTTTGACGCTTCCGTCTTGCGCTCGTCAAAGCTCCATGCATGCTCGGCTGGTGAGCCAGGAAGGAAGTGGGGGCAATGGATCCTATAAAACCAGAGGCCCTGTCGACCTTTCTCTCGTTTCCTCATCAGCTCACTTAACACACTCACTCATTTATAATATTTAACCCAACCCATCCCATTCCTTTCACCACCCAACCCAACCACCAACCACCAACCACCCCAACTCCACCATGCGATCCTTCGTTGCCGTTGCCTGCTTCTTGGCTGCTTGTGAGTGGACGGCTAGCAGTCTCTCCTTCCCCCCTCCCATTTTGGCTGACCTGTCCTTGTTCTTTCTGCAGTCGCTGCTGCCACCCCGGTTGAGTGAGTGACCCTTATCTCCACAAGTAACGAAGAGAGCACTGATGAGTTTCTTTCGAGCAGCCTGCAAGCCCGCCAGGTGTCTTCCAGCAGCGTCCAATCTGCTTCAGGCCACGATGCCTCCCACCAGAGCTCGACCAGCAGCAGCCCATTCGGATACTCCCACCAGCAATCCGACAGCGAGCACTCCTACAGCCAATACAGCTCGGTGACCAACTCCATGGCCCCCGTCTTCGGCACCATCGGCCAGATCCAGAACTTGATGTCCCAGGGCAGCTTTTCCGAGTCCTCTGCTATGAGCTACATGTCCCGCCTCGCCCAGCAACTCCAGCCTGCCTTCGACGGCATCCGCGGATGCGGCTGTCTCCAAGACGTCAGTCTCATCTCATCTCTCTCCGAAGCATCAGCTCTATCGCTGACTGTTCTCTTCATCCATCTGTTACCCTAGCCCACCGTTGTAGTCCTCCTACAACAGCATGTTCAGCCAACTCTACCCGCTCATTCGCAAAGCTTCCAGTCCCAAT